TGTGTGTGTGTGTGTGTGTGTGTGTGTGTGTGTGTTTTATACGGCATTTTCTATAATGATTAAGCAAAGTGAAAGTGTTTAAAATTAATTTAATAAAATAAATAAATGTGCCAAAAGTGATGAAGAAAGGTAGATGATAGATGGTTTTTTTTTTCGGTTGCAAAACTTTTCATTGCACCAAAGAAAATTGAAAATCACATTACAATCTGTCTTCCTGAACAATAAGAAGTCTTGGAAACAGTTACTTCCTCAAATTGAATAATTCTGGATAAAAAAGATATTTTCTGTAATATTTTGATTTCAATGCTAAATAATTGCTGTGTGTTTCAATAGTAAGCCAATAAGCCAATCGAATGGTTTTGGATTCAAAAACTTCACCTTCTTGAGACTCCATTTATATATTTATAAGTTAAGAATAATATCGATAGAAACGAAATTTAAGGCTTGCCAGATGATCCAAAAAATATGTAAAATTAAGCTGCTAATAATTTTAACTTTAATATTATTTAATAGATTGATCAGTTGATAACGGTTAATGTTTAGATTTAGTTTATTTATACAAATTTTCTATACTTAAATTTTCCAGTCCAACTACATGAAAATTTTTAATTACATATTTTAAATTTTTTACATATTTTATGAATCATGAATCATCTTTATTTAATGTATCTGGGAAATAACAATACAAATTAAGATCACTAGCATGTATTTTCAATTATGGATAGTTCGATTTGTTACATATCAAATTCCGGAAAGAATTAAGGAAGAGTTAACTTTATCTATTTCATATATTTCGTACTGTTTTAATTTAATTATTCTCGAAGAGACAAGGATATGTTCCATAAATTTTCATACATATTTTATGTAAAAAAAATCCCATAGATTTTTCATACATAAAAAAAAACTTGAATACATTTAAAATTTATCAAATCTTTCTCTTTTATTTTCTTTATTTCAATTATCGCCAAACAGTTAGCAATTTTAATTTATCTCTAATTTAATATCATTTCAACGAGTACACTTTTCATACATATTTTCATGTAAAATTAATCGGTCAAATTCATACGAAAACATGTCAACGGAACGTACACATGAACCAAACATTCATCGGTTAATTTCATTTCATTTCACACAATTTACAATCGACTTTCTCGACAACGTAAAGACAATTCACCAACTTCCAACCGCTCTCGCGTCTCTCAAATCTTTTCACCTTTTCCACTTTCATAACTTAATCCTAATTCATCACTCTCCATAAACATTTCTTCTCTCCATTTCTTTCATTCAAATACAGCTACTCTCAATAAATTACTCTCTTCTTTTATCCTCTCACCATCACTGTCATCATCGCTATCACCATCATTGTCACCATCACTGTCATCATCGCTATCACCATCATTGTCACCATCACTGTCATATCACACCATCACAGCAATATCAACATTTAAATCATTTAACCCTCTCTCTCTCTCTCTCTCTCTCTTTTCTTGTCTGACTTTAATTTTCTCTTACAATTCATCTCTAACATATGTGGATCAATTCAATTTTCAACTACACTGAATTTATATTTTTGCTGCAATCATTATATATTTTCGCATATTATTAATTAATATATGCATATATTGGAAATTAATTACAGATATATATATA